ACACACACTCACTCACTCACTCACTCACTCACTCACTCGCTCGCTCACTTGCCACCCTTTTCCTGAACGGCAAAAATGGAAACTTTTTGGCAGAGCCCAGGCTAGAACAGCGCTTCCCAGCTACTGAGCCGCATGTGCCCAAACCTAGTTCGGGTTTGGCATAGGGGTGTGGACCCTCAGCATGCTGGGCAGACTCTGGGAAGGCTGATAGAGGACATGGGGGTGCAGCAAGCCTAGGCTGGAAGGGTGGATTGGCTCAGAGAGCCACACTCGGCTATGTGCTGGTGATTACTGGGTGGAGGGTGGAGGCTGGCTGCCTGGGTTCACGTCCTGGCTCTTCCACGTACCTGCTACGCGATTTGTATCCTGTAATATCACTGAGACTCACCTTTCCTCTTTGTGAAACAGCACCCCTCTCAGAGGGCACTCACAGACATAGCGATGGGAGAATCATGTAAGACTTAGCACACTGATGGGCACATGATAAGTGCTCAGTAAAGGATTCGCTCTCACTAGGGTGCTGCTTGATACAACGAATAGCAAGTCACCCCTGGAAAGGATACTAGGGATCTATGAGGCACACACAAGTGGGGCACTGGAAGCCCAGAGAGGTGGGGGTCTTGGTCAGGACCATGGCTCTCACCTTACGTACACTTCCCTGTGTCTCTTTGGAGCAGGGGAGGTATATCCATCTCACACAGGCCCCACCCTTTGCTGGCCCTGACAGGAGGGCTACTAGAAACGGGTGTGTGTGGAAAACCCAGGGCAAAGCCATGGGCAGGATGCTGTGGAGGCTGACTCTGTGGCTGAACAAGCCAGCTGGTGTTAGAACAGTATTTGTCCCCAACCCCACCCAGGTTCCACATCTCAGGGACTCAGGTTAGGAGCTTGATTTTCCCAGTGACCCCGGTGTGGCTGTGAGCCCACCTGTTCCCAGAATGACTCAGGCTGCCCAGGAAAGTGAGGGGGTGGGGGTGGGGGTCCTGTCAAGAGCCCTTGCCTGGCTAGTCCTGAGCAGACAAGCATTGTCAAGCATTTAGAAAAGCAAGGTAGACTCTCTTTTTGGATGTACACAGAGCTCCAACATCCTGAGACCTAGAGACTGGTGTGGCGACTAGGGGATTTCACACATAAATAACAGTTGAAGCTCAGTAATTGAGCTTCCTCGGTAAACCTCAGGGGACTGTTCCCAATCTCCAGGGGCCCAGGATCGAGAGGATATAAACATCATCCTTTTATTTTGCTTCCACCAAAGGGGTTCATGCCTTGCCTGGGATGACCAGAAGGGGACCCTCTGCGAGGTGTTAGGCAGGTTCCCCGGCAGGCCTGTTGACAGCTGTGAGATACGGTGGGTGTGGGTACAAGTCCCGGCTGGGCATGGGTATTATTATTTGACCTTTCCCCATGACCTTGCTAATTGGCCTCTCTTCCAAAGACACGGTCCCTCCCTCTAGTCGTTCTCCCACCCACTGAATTAGTGGGACCTCGGGCCTTCCGGGTGGGGGCGGGGGTGTCCTCTCCTGAGGAGAAGCCTGAGAGAGACACATGATTTCCTTCTTGAGCAATTTTACATCACTCTGTTATTGCCCCCGCTGTTTTAAAATGTTAGTGTTTTTAATTAATGCGGTTTTATCATCCCCGCTCTCGGAAGCTGGCCCCCCTGAGAGGCACCGTTTTGGGAGTCTAATAACGGAGTAAGCAGATGGGGTAGGGGATGATGCACCAGCGCTTATCAAGGTTCTTAGACGAAGGCTGCTGTGCGGTCAGAAGCTCGTCGAAGAAGTGCAAGGTTACAGTAAGATTCTCGCAAAAGAAAATCCATATTTCATTTCTCTCAGGTGGCTAGGTGGAAGTTTATAGAACTATCATAACATACAACTTTCCCGAGATAATATCTTTATTTAAAATTGACTGCCGCATCCTTAGTGGGGAAAAAAATAAATAAAAATTACCACTTATGTCTCGGCAGACTGGGAAGCGGGCAACACACATCACTCTGGCAGGACCAAACTCCTGATTTACACCAGGGCGGTGCACGGAGAGCGGGGGCTGGTGGAGCTTTGTCTGATTTGATATCAAGCTCTATGGGTCCAACTTCCTCCTCTGATAGGTTTCAAATTTATAATTTTGTTCCCCAAGCCAGACTCCCAAGTAGTCTGTAAAAACCACTTGAGCATAATGGAGGGAGGGTGCACCTCGGACTGACGCCGCAGTGCCCAAACTGAGCCAGTGGCCTACGGATCAGCTGTCCCTGGGGAGAAAAGTACCCTTGGGTGGCCGGTCAAGGTCCAACTAGGTTGGAGGACTCGTGGGCCGACATGCAGTCTTGGAAACCCACAGGGGCAGTTCTGCCCTGTCCTATAGGGTCGTCGTGAGTCACAATGGATTTGATGGTGGTGGGTTTGGTTTAGGTTGGGTTTCTTCAAGACAGGTGTCCAGGAGGTCAACACTATTGTCCTCATAGCCCACCACCACTGCTACCCCTCCAGGAGGGCTGTGGTAGGACTCTGCGCCAGGAGGTTTCATGACCTCTCCCCTGTGCTTCTCCAGTGAGTGGAGAGCGGGGTTTTCAATAGTCTGTCTCATGTAGACAGTCTACGTGACCACAAAAATCAACTGCAGCTGCAGATCCAAGAATCTACCTCCCTTCTATTAAATGAGCTGCTATAGAGATTTACCAACACGTGAGACACGCCACTCCATTACGTTTTGTTGTTGCAAATCGAGGGTGGTGTGTCTCATGTGTTGATAAATCTCACGTGTGTAACACGAGGGAGTTAGATTCTCCCCACACGTTGGCATTGATTCAATGGCGGTGGGATTTTGGAGTTGTTTTTCATAAGAGTATATTATCTATGTTAATACATAAATGGGTTTATTTTTCCCCCTTAAAATGTATTCATGAACAAATACCTCACAAAACAAAGCTCTCTGCCGGTGAGTCAATTCTGACTCACATGGACCCTGTAGGATGAAGTAGAACAGCCCCACGAGTTCCCAAGACCGCAGAGCTTTACGGCAGCTGAGAGCTTCATCTTCCTCCTACACCGTGGCTGGTGGTTTCAGACTGCTGACCTTGAGGTTAACAGCCAACGTGTAACCCGCTGCCTCACCAGGGCTTCTAGTAAGTATCTCATCCAGCAAACATCGATAGGGCAAAGCAACACGAACAGAAGTTCCTCTGAGTTCTCAAGCGAAAAGACTTAAAGGAATCTTGGGACCAAGATCTGTGAGAACATGTCTCAGAGTTGCCGATCCACCATGGTGACCCCAGCGACAGCGAGTCAACCACGAGGGCCAGCCACGTCACCAGATTGCCATCTGTAGAACCAGGGACACGGGACTGGGCTAATTTGATTACTGAAAACAACACTTCCAATAGCGCAAAGAGCTCTGGCAGCCTAGTGCCTACAAGGTTAGCAGCTTGAAACCAGCAGCCGCTCAGCAGGAGAGAGATGACGCTTTCTACTCCGTGAAGAGCGGCCGTCGCAGAAACCCACAGGGGCAGTCCTGCCCTGTCCTATGGGGTTGCTGTGAGTCAGAACAGACTGGATGGCGATGAGTTTGGTTTTTGGTTTAATACGGCAGAATTTCTTTCTGATAGAAATCTTCCTTGCAAACTCACAATGGGTAACAGGTTGCTCACGGTTGAAGTGGAGGAGACTGGACTCCAGTCCCCTAAACACCCCCTGCCCCCTTTGACAGCACAGTTTGCAGACTACCGACGGATAAGATCCTAGCACCCCGTAGCTCTGCCCTTCTCTGTTTCAAGTCACTGCAGGCTGGTCCCCGAAGATGCACCTTACCTGCAGCGCCTTACCTGCATGGGCTGAGCGGGGCATCATGAGCTGCTGCGCCCGGGCAGCCAGAGGCAGGCAGCCGCAGTCTCGGGCCCGGCCTGTGCTCAGAAGCAGTCCTTCCGACGAAAGGCAGAGGGTTGAGGGCACACAGGGCCACCCTCCTCTGGGAATCTGCCCTCAGTCTTGGCCCTGAGCTGCTCCTCCAGCACCCTGCTGGCACCCTGAGAGAGACCCCAGCCTCGGGTGGCTGAGATGGTGGGGCCAGTGGGTGGTCTCTTGAGCACAGCGACTTGGCTTCAAACAGAGAGGCGGAGGCAGGACAGAAGATGGAACAGGTATTCCCAGGTAATTTGGCCTTGGCTGTCGGACTGTCTTCAGAATCTCTTGTTTCTTTGTGCCCTTGGTCCGGAGACGCTGGTGGGGATGGGGAGGGACAGGAGGAAGCGGAACTTACTTCTCTGCTCTGGGGAGGGGGGCTGGAGACCTTGTGCTGAGCAGGTGGGCTCTCCGAGGGAGGGCTGGGCGGCACGTGCTGGGGTGATGGGGATACTTGTCTTTTCCCTGTTGGTGGACTTAGCACCCTGGGACTCCCTGTGGGGCTCAAAACCCCAGTGCTGAGGGGTGGACTGGGTGACCTATGCACAGCGGAGAGGCTTGGCTGGGATGGCCTCGGGGAGGAGGGTAGGTTCGGGTGCCTCTTCTCAACTTGGGACACCCAGTGCACCCTTGTGGGAGGGGCCTTCCTGGCCACGAAGGGGCTTCTCTCTTGGCCCTGCCTGGAGGCCTCAGGAGAAGGTGGTCCCTGAGTTGGCCTGGCCAGGCCGGGTTCTGAGATCCTGTTTTGCCCGGAGTTGTGGCTGGAGTGGTGCCAAGGTGATACCTTCCGGGGCTGCTTGCTGACCCAGGTGGCCTTCTCTGTCAGTGCCTGACTCGGACCCCCACCCTTCTCCGATGGGTTTTGGCTGGTGGCTGGTGGGTGGGTTGAGTCCAAGGTGGGCTTTCTCAGACTGCAGCCCCTCTCACTGCTCCCGGTGCCCAGGCTGCGGGGCCTGGTAGGACTGGCGGTGCCCTTGCTGGGCAGCAGGACCATGGGCTTCATGGAGGCTCTCAGCCTGGGGGAAGCCCAGGCTTTCTTGGCAGGGTCGACCCCTCCCAAGCCTGGCACGCCAGTCCTTCCTGGGGAAGCCCCTCCCGGTGCGCTGCTTTCTGGGGGCTCCAGAGCGGTGAATGATTGGTCCATCAGGATTTCTGGGGGTGGTGGAAGCAGCTGCTCTATCTCGTCCTCAAGGCCCTGCCCCCCGGAGGGGTCTGCGGTAAGTAGAGGAGCAAGGATGGGTGTGAAGGGCCTCCGGCCGGTGCCCACGTGAAGTGCGTGGGTGGCTGCTGCTGGAGAAATGCGGGGCTTAGGGTACAAAGGGGCAAGGCCCCTGTAAATGGGGAATCTGGGAGACATGCTGGGGATGCCCCACTTCCCGAGGCAGGGCCTTGGCTCCGAGTGCTTGCAATCCTCCAGCACCCCCAGACTGTCAGAAGGACTGAACGTTTCAATTAGTTTCCTGACTGATGTTCTGAGGGGATGGCTTCGGGTGTGGCTGTCCTCGGCCTGGGGAGCCCTGATTACCTTCTCTTCCAACAGCGTGGTATTGGCATGCTGTTTGGTCGTCCCCGGGGGCAGACTGCCCTTCTGCAACATGCTCTTGTCCTGACTAGGCAAAATGCTGAAGTTCTCAGTGAGGGAGGCCTTCAGCTTGCTGGTAGTGGTGCTCGGGGCCACCTGGCGATTGATACTTGGCCACGAAGCTGCCACTCCGGCCCCTGGAAGCTGCTTCCTGCTGTGCCGGCCATAGAAAGCCTCCAGCTTCTGGCTGAGGTCTCGCTGGACCCTCCACAGCTCTTGGACGGTGGGGTCCTCCGTGTGGTTCTTAAGACTCCCCTCTGACTGGGTCCTCCTCTGCCTCAGCAGGGCCCTCCTACCGCCGCCGACTGTGTTGGCTCTCAGTGGGACCTCCACCCCCCTGTCCTCCTCCTCAGCCCAGTCCCAGGTCCCGGAGGGCACGGGGACAAATTTGATCCTTTCACTGATGGCTTCCTTCATCTTCAGAATCAGTTCCTGGGCCTGGGGGCCCCTGAGCCCCCCCAAATGAGGCTGGAATGTGCCTTTCCGGCCAGCAGGGGAAGACCGAGGCCGGGGAAGCACAGCGGTGTCCTGGCAGGTGTATGGACCTCTGCAGCTGACTGCACTTTCCTCCTCCTCCTCCTCCTCCTCCTCCTCTTCCTCCAGGCTGCTGTCTGGGTCTTCACTGAGGGATGATGGGGCCATCCATCTGGAACCTCTGGGGAGGCATGCTTCTACAGGGACCTCAGTTCTAAGGGAATCACCCAGAGAGCTTTCATTTGTCCCCAAAGGTGGGGAGGGGATGCTTTCAGGGCCAGCGTTGGAAGGACAGTGACTTCCCGTAGGCTGAACCTTAGCCGTAGGAAGCCTCATGGGTGGACAGTCTTGGGGGCTGTCTGAACCCAACCAGGAGGGACCTGGCTCCCAGGCACGTCCTGTTGGCCCGGCTTCCGCTGGCTTCCGTGCCACAGGCTCCAGCACTACGTCCCAGCTGCCTTGCTTGCTTGCCTTGTCCAAGGACTGCATGGACTCATGGTCAGCCCCTATACCACTGTCTTCAGAGCACAGGGGGGCACCCTGCACCCCGGAGTCCCCGTGGCCACTCGCCAAGCTCTCTAGTTGCCCCAGGACCCTTAAGAGATGCTCACCCACACCCCTCTGTACATTCAGCTTCTTTTCCACGTGGCTGGAGGAGGAGCGGAAGCAGGTGCCGGCAGCCTCCAGGAGGCTGCTGGTGAGGGAGCCCACGGAGCCCTCGAGGGCCCGCAGCTTCCTGACTGTGTACTGCAGAAGCTGCTGCAGGAGGTCGGGCTGCTCCAGGGCCACCTCTCCCCCCAACGGCCAGGCCAGGTCAGCCCCAACTTCCCGGAGGAGCCCTTCTCCGTCCTTGGCAATCTCGCCCAGGAGCCGGTTGGCCTCCTCCAAGCACAGCAGCAGGAAGTGGAGCATGGGCTGCAGCAGCTCCTGGGTCTGAGCGGCCCGGTGGCTGACGCCGAGGATCGCTTCATACTTGGCCAGGCTGGAGTGCAGGTAGGTATAGGAGCGGCGGTGGGCTCTCACGAGGGACGCCGGAAAGTCCACCTTCCCTGCAGGTCCACAAGGAGGCAGGGAGGGTTGGCAGCCATGGCCTTGTGTGCCCAGCCTCTCCAGTGGGGAGGTCTCCTGGGCAGCCTGTCCCTCATACTCTTCCACAGAAAAATGGGCCCCTTGTGACCCACGGGGGCTCTGGGGCAGAAGGTCCTTCGCCTTGTGGCTCTGGGATTTGCTTGGCCAGGGTGGGGACGTCCTGGCATCTAGGATCAGCCCTTCCATAGCGTCCCCGTTCCCTGAAGCAGGCCCTCCCGTGAGCTGACACAGACCTTCCGCTGTGGCTGGGCTCCACCTGCACCTTGGATGCTCCTCAGCTGGCCTCTGCCCCTGGGCCCCGCCACCCCCATAGTCGCAGTCTGGGGTGCTTTTCAGCAGCAAAGGGGTAGAGCATCTTTCTTGGCCCACCTGACACCCTGGCAGAATCGCCTTGGGCTTTTTCAGGAAGGGAATGCCACTCTTGGCGACACTGTTCACAATGTCACTGTGGGATGGGGTGCACCCCATGGCTTCAGGTGACGATCACCTTCCGCCCACCCCCTTAGTCATTTTCAGAGAAGCGGATCCAAAAGAGAAACGAAAGGCAGGCTTACAGTCCATCCGGGCAATCTCCAGACTGGATCCTTTGAGATCCTCAACACGAGGTCTGAGAAGCCAGCTCCCCTGGAAGCCAACTTCGCTGGCCCCGCTGTGCAGAGGCAGTAGTGTCTGCTATCCTGTCTGTGCTCCGGAACCAACCGCGTGCTGTCAGTGAGAGGCAGGGACTGTGGGCTCATGGATGCTGGGTCTGTGTTTTGCTTGTGTCCTGACAGATGCAGAAGGCAAGCAGAGCCTTAAGCCTATTAGGTTAATCACGGCCCAGCCAGTTAGCAGGCACAGTGTGCTCTGATAGAGAACTTCTCAGTGATGGCTATATTGGGAAGCGGATTATTTTTGCACATGCTTGCGTTTTTAATTCTGTTCAGATGCCTGCCCCAGGAAGCCTAGGGAAACGGGGCACGGTTGCAGAAAAGGTTCTGGAAGAGACATCTGTGGAAGAGGAGCGACAGCTTGCTGTTGACAGGCCTTGGTAGCAAAGTGACCTTCAGAGTGACAAAGGGCAAACCTGCCCAGTGTGCTCCAATCCACGGTGGCCTGGAAAGCTTCAAGAAACCAAACCAAACAAAAAAACCACAACAGACTGTAATGGAAGCCATGCGTTACTGTTTGTGTGGCTTTTGACAAGGCTCCTATAATGGTGGACAGCATCACCCCACCCGTGAAGAGAAGAGACTTAGAGAGCAGGGAAGTTGCCCTTCCTGGGATTTGCTTGGCCAGGGTGGGGACGTTCTGGTTTGGAGGGAGACAGCAGGAAAACCCACCACCACACGAAGCTCAAGGCTGGTCACTAGGGACCGTGGGGACTCAGAAGAGAAGCTTGTTATTAACTTCTCACAGGAAAACTAGCTGTAAGCGGACAGGGGAGAACCATTTAACTGTATTAATTAAACCATTTTTATTTATTTATTTGAACCACTTAATTATTAGAAGTAGAACCACCACCCCCCCCAAAACAAATAAAACACAAACTCACTGCCATTGAGTCAGTTCTAACTCATTGATACTCTGTAGGACAGGGTAGAGCTGCCCCTGGGGATTTCCAAGGTTGTAAATCTTTCCTCAAGCAGAAACCACTGATTTTTCCCTGGGAGCTGCTGGTGAGTTCACACTGCTGACCTTGTGGTTAGCAGCCTGCTGCTTAACTCACTAGGCCACCAGGGCTCCTTAGACGTAGAACCCAAGGAAATGGGAGTGTCTGTTATTCTTTGCAAGTACTGCTGTCTACTTAATCTGAGCTTAGTGCCTTCACTCCTGGCTAAGGGTAGCAGGCACCTGTTTTAGACTCTTGGGGCTTATCTGCTATTAGTAAAGTCTAAGAATAAGAGCTTAGCGTTAGGAAGGCTTGGGTTTAAATTCTGACTTTTCTCCTTTTAGTTGGGGGACCCTTTACCAATCACTTCTCTGAGTCAAAGCCCCTTCAAAGCCCCTCTTCAAAATGGGGCGAATGCTGGCTCCTTCCTGGAGCTGCTGTGGGGATCACGTCAATGCAGGCTTGATGAGTGTTGGGCCTACTTCATGACACGTGGTAGTGGTGTTGCCAGTGAGTCAGCGCCTGACTCACAGAGACCCCATGCCCAATAGACTACCATGCTCTCTGGTCTGACACCATTGCTACGATTGCTGGTCAATTGGACCATATGATCCTTGGCCTTTTCATTGGCTGACTTCAGAAGTAGATTCTCAAGCTTTCCTTCCTGGTCTTTCTTAGCCTGCAAACTCTGTTGAAACCTCTTCAGCATGATAGCAACAAACAAGCCTCTACCGACAGATGGCTGAATGTATTGACTCTAAACCAAACCCAGGTTTCCCCTCTGGAAGGTGAGAATGCTACAATGGAACCACCAAATGGGATTCCTGATTTATTTCCCTCTTGGAAGCTAGGCATCCAAGCAGGCTCACTGATGTGTCAAGGAACAAATCTCTATTCTCCCCTGAATTGTCCGGCAATGATTTCCTAATGATGGGATCTTTGGCCTTCCTGTGTTTGTGCAGGATGGCCCCTCCCCAAGCATAGCTACCTTGAGATGTTCCTGATATCCTATTGGGCGGCTTCACTGCTCTGGACACCTGGTTCTCACTGTCTGCAGAACAAAGAGGGATTTTCATTTAACCAGTTTGGGCCATAGATGTTGTCACCAATCCCGTTTCTTATCACTATAATTCGGAATCATCTCCATGGCAGTGAGTTTGGTTTCCTGGAATAGAAAAAAATATTTCATTGAGGATCTTCGAGCATCTTCTTCTTATTATTATTATTTTTATGTTTTATTTGTGTGAAGGTTTACAGAACAAATTGTTTGTTCACCCAACACTTCATACACATGTTTCATGGCATTGATTACAGTCCCCATAATGGAACATTTCCTTCCTGTTGACACCTATTCAGCATCGTAAGAACATGCAAACCTCCACTGACAGATGGGTGGGTGCATCGGCTGAGAAGTAGACCCAGGTTGCCGGCATGGAAGGGGTTTACAGTTTCCGTTCATCCTCTGTCCCATGTATTTCTGCGCTCTGCACTCTCTCTGGGAGCAAATGCTGCCCTTCTTATGTCATGTGTTTGCTTGCTGTAAGGAGTGCATAGCTCTCTGGAGTCATGGTTCGCTCCATAAACCTGTCTATTGTTTCGAGGGAAGTGGAGCTATGGGGATGAGTTCAGTTCTAGACCTGAAGAGTCATCGAGAGTCATAGTCTCAGGACTTCTACAAGTCTTCATTAGACCAATAAACTCAGTCTTATTAAAAATGATTTGAGTTTTATTCCACAGTTTTCACCCACTCAACTCAGGACCCTCTATTGTGATCTCTTTCAGAGCAGTCAACCCTAGTAGCTGGGCCCATCCTAGTTCTTCTGATCCAAGGTCATGGAGGCTGAGGGGTGTGGGGTCCTTTGTATCTTTTAAACAAACTACTTCCACATGTTTTTAATTTTCTTCACTTTTCTTTGATCCGGACAGGAAGACACCAATAGTTGCACCTCAGTTGCCCACTCATAACCTTTGAAGATCTTATTCGATACCCTAAAAAGAGTGGGGTGTAGATCATTGTCTTTTGTGAACTACATACATCAGTTGTCCTTGATGTCCCCCGTGACTATGGCCCCAAGCCTCCAGGCCCCATGACTCATCCTCTCCAGGTGTTTTCTGATGGCTAAGAAGTCTTCCACCTGGCCTTGCCCTCTGTCTCTTCGATGAAAAAAATGAGTATGCTTGCAGCACCTGTGGATATGCTTGAAGAAATATCAAGTACAGATGAAGATTAAAGATCGTAGCCTTCATTATGGGATACAGCTCAATGTAAAGAAAACCAGGATCTTCACACCTGGACCCAGAGGCAGGATGAACGGAGAAACGATGGAAGCTGCCAGGATTTCGTCTTGGTTGGATCCACAAACGACACTCACGGAAGCAGCAGTCAAGAGCTCAAAGGATGCATTGCACTGGGTCAATGTCTTTAAAGTGTTGCATAGCAAGATGTCACTTTGAGGCCAGCAGTGTGCCTGACCCAAGCCATGGTATTTTTAGTCGCCTCTTATGTAGGTGAAAGTGGTTCATTGAATTAGGAAGGCTAGAGAAGAATGGATGCATTTGAATTATGGCGCTGGCGAAGACAAAACAAAACAAGCACAAAAGAAAAGAAACAAACAACAAGATGACCAAAAGATCTGTCCTGAAGGAAGTGCAGCTAGAACGCTCCTTAGAAGCAAGGATGGCAAGGATTTGTCTCAAGTACTTTGGATAGGCTTTAAGGAGAGACCAGTCCCTGCAAAAGGACATGTGTGGTCCTTTGTGTCTTTTAGACAAATTACTTCCACGTGTCTTTAATTTTCTTCACATTCATTTGATCCGGACAGGAAGAGATCAATAGTTGTACCTCCGATGCCCTGTAAGAGGACAGCGAAAAAGAGGAAGAACTTAAAAAAGAAGATGGATTGAAACAGTGGCTGCAACATTGGGCTCACCATAATAACAATTGTGAGCTGGTGGTGTAGGACCTGGAAGTGTTTTGTCTTGTTGTCCACAGGGTTGCTCTGAGTCTGATTAGACTCGATGACACCTGTGATAGTTAGCCTTATTGTACCAACCAGGTCAATAGGAACATGTCCGAGGAGATTAATCAGGTCAAAGCTTGCTTGGAGGATGAGATAAATGGCTCTGCAAGGCCCTCCCCCTCGCTCTTGCTCCTTGGTGATTGGACCAGCTTGCTGCTGCTTTAGCTAGTTCTCTGCCTCAACCCGTGAGCTACACTACCTGTGGTCCAAGCCAACCCATGGATTGTGTCGCTTGAGCTTGAGGCTCCTTCAAGACCTGCTTCTTGACACTGCGGGTATGCGCATCATTTGAGCTTGAGGCTGGCAGATCCGGTTGCTGTGCATAGCTTGAGTTCAAGATCCTATTGGGGCCTGTTTCCCTAAGCTCCCATGCTATGACTGCTGCTGACCCACCCTGCTGTCTGCTGCTTTCGGGCTGACTCTGCCTGCATTGCCCGAGGGAAGACTCAGCTGTCAGCTTCCTTGACCTTGGACCAGCAGCCCACTGTGAGTTGAAGGACTTTCAGTATAGTAACTGTTCCACGAGAGTGGTTTGGACTGAGCCTTTTCTACTGCTGTGTGGACTAATTAGCTGTTATATTCTCTCTCACTGTATAAACCTATTTATCTAATCATACGTTTCCTGGTTTTGTTTCTCTAGAGAACCCTGCCTAACACAACACCTAACAACAACATACCTATACACACCATCACTTAGGGGGTCCTGGAGCAAGTCAAGAGTGCAGCAAAAGCAGATAGCTATACTTTATCCTGGATTATGGGCTATCATACAAAAGTCTTTAATGGCGAAGAGGGCACTGAGCAATGGTGGGTTTTTTTTTCCTGAGAAGGAGGTGGTAGGCCAAGTAAGTTCAGGG